AGAATTGTTTGAATGCTTCCGCTGGGAGCATCACTGATGAGGCAAGAATGGAAGTGGTGGAGCTTGTGATTTCGAGGGAAATTTACAACATCAATTTCCATCTCTCAGATGCGAGGGTTTATAAYGAGAAACCCCTTTTGGTGGCCACTGGAACTGATGAGAATTTGAAAGATGCAGCTGAAAAAGTGAGTGTGAAGCTGTCTTATGAGGACACTGTGACCACAACTTGGAAGTCTTCTATATCGACCAAATTTGGGGTTAAAGTGACTGTGGAAACTGGGGTTCCTAAGATTTCTGAAGGGGAGATTGAGATTTCTGCTGAGTTTCAGGAGGAATATGAATGGGGAGGAAGCCAACAGACCAAAACTCATGTGGAGGTGATGTTGGAAATTTTAAAGAGTTTACATTTATTATTCTATTTTATGCTGTTATTTCACTCCTTTTAACTGGGTTAGTAACTTGAGTCGAGTGCTTTCTAATAATAGGGGTAGTTCCTATGTGTTTCTCGACAACAAATGTTGTAGAATCAGACAGTTGTTGGGTGAGATTAGTCGAAATGTGCGAAAAAAATGAATTTGTTAAGGAGAAAAATTGTTGTGATCAGTAAAAAAATAGGTAATGATCACATAAATTTGCTAAAGGTTTGAATAAATGTTTTGTTTGTCACTGTTTTTTGTGATAAACAAAATACTGATTTCAAGCAAATTCATTTTTTACTACATATTATGTACAAAATTGAGGCGTACTCAGTCAATTTTTAYGAGTGAAATSAAAAGAGAAAAAGAAAAACTTCCTTATTAAAGAGGTAGCATCCGATAGTCTAAGAGAGAGTCCTCACGGTGTGTTTTGTTTTTGGTAAACTACAAAGAATTTGTCTTTGAGTTCTATGATTTTGAGCATAAAAGACAATTGGGGATTCGTAAGAGAACTTAATTAGTTGCTACACTACACACGTCTCTTGAAAGATTGTTGTATCTTCGAAGTGGACGAGCGTCRAATAACTCAGTGCAATAGGAGCATATTTTCTCTATTTTCTCTATGGACAGCATTTACGAACCAGGATGATGTCTCAATCCATAATTTACATGCTTTTCTTATCTCTCAATTTTAACATTGTTTTATTAAATTAATTATGTGTGAGAWTTTTTTAAAAATTTCTATTCCCTAAATATATTTCCTAACAACAGGTGACCCACGACGTGACGGTGCCTGCATGGAGCAAAGTGAGGGGCAGCATAATTGCCACTCAAGCTATCTGTGATGTTCCTTTCTCTTACACTCAACGGGATAAGCTTATGAATGGAAGATCAGTTATTAGTCGTCTTGATGATGGTATTTTTACTGGCGTCAATTGCTACAACTACCAATTTCTGGCTGAAGAAATCTGATGAGTTTATAAATTCCCTAATTGGTAATATATGTAAGAGAGAACTTGTTTTTCCTTCTTTTGTTTGTCTCTTTGTAATGCTTGGAGCAGTGGCTTACATGAATGAAATTGTGTTGTTTGTAGTTACCTTTTGGAAGCATACAACCACAGTCTATAGTGTTCATTATATAGTTGATTATATAGATTTACAATTACTTTACTTGTTTTTTCTGTTTGTTGTGAATATATATAACTACCCTTAGATACACTTTTGGCCCTCAAATTATCATATTAATATGAAGTTTGAAACAATGGCATGATGTTATGATTAATTTTTTTAAAAATTCATTTTGTTTGTCCTCAAGAATAGTCTGGATGGTTTGGGGTCTCAGAGAATATCTTTGAGGTCTAGAGTATCAAGGCCAAAGGGCCGCTGACTCTCGGGTAATAAAAAGAAAAAAATATCATTTTGTTTAGTATCTTTATCGCAATACTTGTAGTGTAATGCCCTATGTTCAAGATGTAAGAGTAAAGATTGTCCCAATGAACCGACACCGATTCTTTTAAGATGTTTTGTTGTTACTCACATGCTTTCTAGGAAAATTTTCAGGGGTCACTAAACTTAAGATTGTTCCAAGCCAAACATGCTTAACTTTAGAGTTTTATGGCTGAGCCACTGAAAATGAATTTTATTGATATCGTTAGTATCAATAATTATTTTAAGCTTTTTTCATGGTTGCAAAGATCTCTCTCACTAAGATGTTGTGTCGGTTAATCCATGTACCCCTCCTCTACTTGGGTATCACAGGTGAGAAAACTATATTTTTTCAAGTCAATTGATAATTTGAATGCCTATCTTTTGTAGGACAAGTGTGTGGGTTTTGTTAAGAGGCGAAATTGAATCCAACTCAAATTTTCAAATGATAAATTTTTATCCTACATGAGGAACTGTATTTAGGTACGGTGATGGACTCAATGAAGCCCATATATACATATATAATATTTGGGTAAGATTGTTTTGGATTGTTATGGACAAATTATTCTTAAAATGGTATAAACATAAGAAAATAAAGTAGTAATTAATCCAAGGATCTATTAACCTATTTTTGCAAACATTTGAATGAAAACAGCAGTTCAATTTCTTAGGTTATTTTATGAAACTTGTTATTGAAAAGAGTAGGGGTGTTCACGGGTTGGGTTGGGTCAGGTTAGAGGTATTTTTGGGACCAACCCGAATTTTTCGGGTTGGCCATATGTAGGAATCGACCGGTCTAAAATCGATAGCTAACCCAACCCAAAATTTTCGAGTTGGGTCATTTATTTTTTTTCCATATATTTTTCTAACCTCAAAGTTACAAAACGACTCATGTAGAAGAATCAAAATCTCATAAATGAGAGAAGAAGGCTAGCGATGACGACGGCGACGTGAGCTMCGAAGGCGGGCGGCAACGGGAGCTGCGAAGGATGACTACGGCGATGGGAAGCTTGAATGAGGGAAGAAAATGGAGGAGAGAGACTTGAGAGAGGAAATAAAATGGAGGAAAGAAGCTTGAGAGAGAAAAGAAAATGGAGGAGAGAGGCTTGAGAGAAAGGAGGAGGGAAAGTGAGATTGAAAAGATGAAAAACCTTAACCTAAATGAATGGCTAGGATTAAAACTAATGGAGAGTTGAGATTAAAGATAAAAAAAAATTATTTATATATTTATAAAGATATTTATATTATTTATAATTAAAAAATATATATATACATAAATTCGGGTTGGGTTGGGTTGACACGAATTTTTAACGGTTAAACCCGAGACCCAACCCAACCTGATCGGRTTGGGAAAATTTCAACCCAACCCAACCCAAGTCTTCATCTAACCCAACCCAACCCTGAATTTGTCGGGTTGTCGGGTTTTTTGAACACTCCTAATAAAGACTTGTGAGTCAATAATTTGTTTTCTGAAAATGGTGATGTGAATACAAAATCTCAATAGAAATGAAAGTAATATTACTAATATATCATTCATTAATAGAGCATGTGTTATCTCAATTGATATATAGTAATATCACTAATATACCTAATATACGATATGTCACTAATCCACGAGTTATTACATTTATGTCATTTTTGCAAAATATTGAACAAATGTGCTATTACTTAGTTTCGTGTGCTATTATATATATATAAAAAAAAACTCCAAATTTTTATTTTTATTAGTACAATATGTGGTGATGGGGGATCGAACTCGCAAATTAACGACAATGCAAGTGTTTGAACATACGACCTTCTGCTCTGATACCATGTTAAGGGTRAATAAACCACTACTCAACCCAAAAGCTTAAGCTAATAGATTTGGTAAATTTAATTCATATATTGGATATCTAACAATTTTCTATATTAGAAATTCTAATATTTTATATTTGTTTATATTATTTTTTTATTTTATTTACTGAATTAGGGTTTATACAAGAAGATAATTTTTTTAGTACAACACATGTAAGGTGGAGGATCAGGATCGAACTCACAACCTCTTGATTGGAAATATATGCTAATTACTGGTGAACTAACTTATTTTAAATTATCCGCRTACCATATGGATGCATCCACTATAGATTTAAACTTTGTTTGAACCCAAAACAATTCTAACAAGTATATAACYTAATTTAACTTAGATATTTTACTGAGCAAGAATACTAAGAAAATTTAGAGAGAACTCTCTCTCATTTTCAAGGAGGCGTATGTTTTTTGGGAATGTAGATGTCGGACATATAACGATATTTAGAATTTCAGATGTCCGAAATTTTAGATGTCTGACACCTTTAGATAACCATATGATTTGTTCTTGGAAATGTGTTAAATTTATATAATGTTTCAAAAATGCCCTCACGAATACTCATATAATTTCTAAATTCAATATAATAGATTTATTAGAATTAATATAATGTTTTGTTTTTTGTTACGTTGTTTTTTAGAACAAATTAATTCCTATTAATTCAATATATATTTCATTTTCTAACTTTAATATCTTTCCAARAGRACAATCATATAATTTTTATTTAAATACAAAGCTATTGTGATGATATGCTTAGCAACACAGGACCAAGAGTTGAGAATAAGAATCAAGAAAACCTTTCAATTGAAATTAGCATASAGAAGATCATGTTTACGATAGCTCTTGTGACTGATAAATACTAGCACAAAGGAAGAATAGAATAAGAAAGTATAGGTAACGGTAATATTTACATAAGTACTTAAATCTGCATTAAAAGAGACACAATCAATGATATATTTTGCCGGAAAATCTGGGCAAAATCAATGGGCTAATTTGCCAAAATAGATCTCATATATAGATTGATTTTATTGTTGTTTTTAGGGATTAAATCTCTGCAAGCCGTCCTCCATTGTTTCATCTTCCCTCAAACTAGAGGTAGGAGCCCCACGTACTCCAAGTTTGCTTCGAAGGTCCTTAAATGTGGCTTTAGGTAGGGGTTTCGTGAGTATGTCCGCCAATTGACGTTTGGAGGGAACATAGCGAGTGACAAGTGATCCAACGGCTACTTTTTCTCGAACAAAATGATAGTCAAGTTCAATGTGTTTTGTGCGAGCATGAAACACGGGATTGACTGACATTTACAAGGCGCTTAAATTATCACATAATAGTTCAGGGGGTTTTAATAGAGGAATGCCGATTTCTCGAAGAAGAAAAGTGAGCAAAGTAATTTCAGTTGTTGTTGTAGCCATTGCACGATATTCAGACTCTGAACTAGACCGAGCAATTGTGGGCTGCTTCTTAGAGGACCAAGAGATGATGTTAGAGCCAAGATAGACACAGAACCCGATTGTACTTTGACGAGTAACTGGACACCCACCCCAATCCGTATCACAAAAAGCATAGAGGTTGAGAGTGTGGTTTTTGTAAATGGTGATTCCAAGGTGTGTAGTTCCAACCAAGTAGCGTAGAATTCGCTTGACTTCTTTGAGGTCTTTGACAGTAGGACTTTGGAAATGTTGGTAAATTTTATTCACTGCTTGAATAATGTCTGGACGTGTGAGAGATAAGTATTGAAGGGATCCTACTATACTACGATAAGAGGTGGTATCCACAGGTTCATCGTCGTTAGGTGAACTTGGGGGAGCAAGAGCCATAGGTGTTGCACTGATTGAAGCTTCCATCTTCCTACTCATTGTAATATATTCTGAGCATACTTACATTGAGTTAGCATTAAGTCATTGGTGTTGTCATGTACTTCAATTCCTAGGAAGCAGTGAAATGCTCCCAGATCCTTGATTGCAAATTCTTTACTGAGTTGGGAAAGTAGCTCCTTAAGAAAAACATTGTTATTTCCTGTCAAGATAATGTCATCAACGTAAATTAGCATGAGAATGATAGTAGTTTTTTGTCTAAAAATGAATAGAGAAGGGTCGGATCGACAAGAATAAAATCCCAAGTGCATTAGAAATTTTGATAATCTATCAAACCACGCTCTTGGTGCTTGCTTTAAGCCATAGAGAGAACGATTGAGTTTGCACACAAAATGAGGGACTTTGTCATCTTGGAATCCTGGTGGTTGGGAGATGTAGACAACCTCCTTAAGGTAACCATGTAAAAAAGCATTTTTGACATCTAATTGTTTGAGAGGCCATTTCGAGGTTACAGCCAAGGCTAGTACTAGACGAATGGTTGTAGGCTTTATAACTGGACTAAACGTTTCAGCATAATCCAAACCTTCAACTTGTGTATATCCTTGGGGCAACAAGACGAGCTTTGTATCGTTCAAGAGATCCATCCTCTTTGAACTTGGTCTTAAAAATCCACTTGGATCCAATGACATTTATGTTTAAGGGTGGAGGAACAAGGTCCCACGTGTGATTTTGACGAAGTGCATGAAGTTCCTCCTCTATAAATGCCTTCCAATGTGGTATTTTAAGGGTCATTTTTCTTGGGAAAAATCTCTTACTTCTACCGCAGGAATAAGCAGAAAATAACTGAAAAATTTAAAGAAAGCAATAAAATAAAGAAACAGAAGAATTAACATGGAAAAATCCCAAACCGGAGAAAAAATCACGGCCCACAAGGGAAAATCCACTATGTGAAAAATTATTACAATCACACAGATTTCTCTTCCCGACCCCAATTACACAAAACACTCTTTCAAAGCAAATACCGCTCAGTTAACTAAAGCTAGTATATCAAGCTTAAAGTATTTCAATTGGGATGATTAAAATCCAAGCCATGAGCTCCTTTTATAGTAGTTGGAACACATCTCCTCCTTTTACTTTTTCGATGTGGGACAACTTCTAGTACATGGAGACCATCCTTGTATTCTTCCAATGTGGGACAACTTCAATTTCAATATTTTGCCAAAACCCAACAGTTTTATATGACTTTGGTTMTGAGATAGAGTCCACGGGTATCAAGGTATGGTTTTGATTGGATTTGTGGAGCTTCAAATTTTGCACTTCTTTGTGTAGTTGTTTGTCAAGAGATGGATTGGAGGTCGGCTTATGTCTTGTGATCATTGTATGAGTGGGAATGTTTGTGGATTGATTCTGACACAATTCTTCTAGTTGGTGTGAGCAAGGCAGGAGTTGTACGTTGTGTTCATCTACATGAGAAATAGGAAGTTCAATTATTAATTGATTGCTAATGTCAGATAGTGATGACAGATTATTTGAAATATGAGTTGAGTGAGAGGATATAATGGGCTTATTTTGTGAGCCACAGTTGGTGGGAGTTTGATCAAGTGGACTATCCTCCTTATCACCTGCAACACAAGTAAAAGAGTCATTTTGATTGTTAAGAGACTGTATAATATGAAAGTTAGTAACTGGAGATTGCTCATTATGAAGAGCGGAGGAACAGATGGTGCTCTCTAGTTGTTTGGTTTGTCCGTCACCTGTGAAATCAGATTTTGTTGGGGAATGCTCTTTCCTCATTTGTCGTTGCTCTTCTCCAATACTTGGTGCTTATTTTCACTCAAATTTGGTCGTTCCTCAAGTGTTTCTTGAGAAAAGTCTTCATATATCATTTTCTTGTTGGAGTGATCAGCTTCTAACATTCTTTCAAGGTCTGCAGTAGATCCTTTGGTGTTGCAGCAACTTATCCATCCTTCTAGATCTTTAAACTCAGTAACTTCAAGTTGTGTTGTGCTAATTAGTGTGTCATTGTGTGTGCTAGACTTAAAAGGATAAACTTCTTCATCGAAAATCACATGTCTAGATATATAAATTCTATTTGTTTTAGGGTCTAGACATCTATGACCCTTGTGTATATATGGAACTATATCCAATGAACACACATGGATATGTTACGTTTATCAAATTTATTATGGTTATAGTTTCTTAAGTATGGAAAACACCTGCAACCAAAAACTCTTAAGCTATCGTATATAGATTCTTTATTGTACAAAAGGCTAAATGGAGTTTTCATTTTTAAGGATTGACAAGGCATTCTATTGATTAAAAAAATAGCAGTGAGAAAAGCATCAACCCAATATTTATTGGGTATATTTCCTTGAAAAAGAAGGCTCAAACTTGTCTCTACTATGTGTCTGTGTTTCCTTTCTACAACGCCATTTTGCTGAGGTGTGTGAGGGCAGCAAAATTGATGTCGAATCCCTCTTTCCTCAAGGTAAGCTTTAAGAGCCAAGGAAGTGAATTCCCCCCCTCCATCACTTTGAAACACTTTGATTCTTTTGTCAAATTGATTCTCTGTCATCCGTTGAAATTTCACAAAACAAGACAAAAAATCTGATTTTTTCTTTAGAGCATATAACATGTAAACTTGAAAAATCATCCACAAAACATGCATAATACTTGAAATTTTGACAAGATGAGATAGGAGCAGCCCCCAATGCCATATTTAAATTATGATTTGAATAAAAAGGTAATTTAGAACTTTTGCCCATTTGGCATTCAGTACACACATTCTCAAGTTTTTTCCAACTAGAAACATCAATAGCATTATTATTGCTCAAAACTCTAATATAACTTTCATTTAAATGTCTCATTCTTCTATGCCATATAGAATAGGGAGCCTTATTCGTGCCGGTGGAAGCTAGATACGCATGTAAACCATCAATCTGTTGCGGCTAGCGTAGATCCAATGCATAAAGTCCTCCTTTCTTATGTCCCTTCGCTAGGATCTCCCCCTGTTTGTTCTTAACAACGAAATTGTCAGTGGAGAAAGTAATAACACAATCATTGTCCTTAGCTAGTTTACTGAGAGAAGATTTTTTTGTCATGTTAGGTACATCAAGGACATCTTTAAGGACTAAGTTTCCAAAATCAGTACTTAATTTACTATGTCTTATATGAGATATTTCTAAAACATTACCATCACCTATATAAATTGATTCTTTTCCTTTATAGGTTTTAACTGAAGCTAGCTTACCAGCATCATTTAACACATGAGAAGTAGCGCCTGAATCTGCGTAGAGATTCTGATCTGATGTATCCTTCAAGTTGAATGCAGCTAGTGCTTTAGGCAAATCCTCAAGTTGAAAGCTATGATCAAATCTGTTCCAACATTCAATGGCAGTGTGATTAAATTTTCCACATATTTGACAACTTACTCGTCCTTCAGCCTTAAAGGGAGAGTTCTCATTTGTTTTTTCAGTTTGGAGTCTTTGAGGGGACTGCTTCAGATCTGGTTGTTGCATTATATGAGGTCTGCCTTGTTGAAATCCTCGTCCTATTGAGGAGAAATGCCTGCCTCGTCCTTTGTTTCTTCCCCTTTGAGAGTATAAGGCTTGATTATGGTCCATGACAGAAATTTTTCCTTCCTCTGCTTCAAGATTGATCTACTGTGCTCATGATTCTTTAGTGCCAGTTAGAATTGATTATATGTGGGATATGGTGGCTTTGAGAACATGTCTGTTTTGAATTCTCTATAATTGCTTCCCAAACCTCTTGCTAAATGCATCACCTTAGTTAGATTGTCAAGAGGTTTCTTCATGGCGGCTAATCTGTCACCCAAGTTCTTGAATTTTTTGATGTACTCATCAAGCGACAGACTGTCCTTTCGTAGACTGATGAGAGCTTCATTAAAGTGGAGTTCATTTTCTTTGGTCATGGTGAGAAGCAACTCTTCCATATATAGATTGATTTTATTGCCAAAATATATCCCATATATAGATTGATTTTATCGTTGTTTTTAGGGATTAAATCTCTGCATGCAAGCTGTCCTCCATTGTTTCAGTATTATCTTGGATAAATATATCTTACCATCGTATTATTTAAGAGGAAAAATATCACAGATATATTGGTGGTAAAAAAAATGGTTGCTTTAAAATTATATATTTTTGATAATAAATATTATTAATAATATAATTCCTTCAAAATATTAAAAATAAATCGAGATATTATATAATTTAATTGCAGTTTATTTTAGATGTAAATGTAGTGTACAAATATACTTAATTGCATAAAATTGCTTATTAGACAATGAGCCATTAATTTATTTAAATTATAAATTTAAAAATAAAAAATTTTTTGGGGAAAAGGAAAGAAAATATATGGAAAAAAACGAAGGGCAAAAATTTAAAGAGCGGATGCCCTCAACACGAGAATCGTGGATACCCATGTTTCAAAATGGCATCCAAAACTCGTTAGATGCCTCCCGTACGGGCATCCTAGAATACCCGAACATCTTGAGATGCCCGTGTATCATACATTCCGTGCAAAACAAATGTGGGAATACAGATGCCCGTCCAATGGGAATTTTGGATTCCCACGAAACAAACAGCCCCTGGGTCTGAACTATTTGTTCTCATTTAATTAAATAAGGGTTAAGAAAACACATTTAGTCTGCTAAATAACAATTTACCCTGAACTTTATTTTATAACGATTTATTCTCTTTACTTTTAAATTGGTAACAATTTAGTCATTGAATTTAGTATGTAACAATTTAGTCCCTAAGTGTCTATTTTTATCATACAACGATTTTTTTTTCGTAATTTATAAATATATTTGGTCCCTCTCATTGGTTTATCAATCTAGATATATAAAAAGTTTCACAAAATTTTTCATGATAGAGACTAAATCGTTACAAACTTTAAGCTACAGAGATTAAACTGTTACATATATGTTACTGTTGTCTAAAATATTAGAGGGACGACTAATTGTCTAAATTGTATGCATACTAGAGCTTAGGGACTAATATTACTAATTTGAAAGTATAGGGACTAAATCATTATAAACTAAAATTTGAAAGTATAGGGACTAAATCATTATAAACTAAAATTCAAAGATTAAATGGTTACTTCACCATAATATTGGGACCAAAGTATTTTTTAACCTTGAGTAACCAAATTATTTCTAATTCTTTAACCATGAATTTGTCTACTCATCTCATCGGCTTAGATCTATTGATACACCTCCATGGATCCCAATGCCTTTTCTTACACTACATGGCTATTATAAACCTTATAAATTTTCTATAATTATTATTTCAGTATTATATAATTTATAATATAATTATGTTTTATATATTTTCAATTTTAACAAAAATAAATTTGTTTATAATTTTTTTTTATGTCACTGAGTATCTAAATCAACTTGCATATACCTCGAATAATTTTACGGAACAACCATCCGGCTGCTACTAAATTTATCAATAAACCACAGACAGATGCCAAATTCACCCTAAGATTTCCACAATCAACATTCCTTCCCTAAGTAGAAGGCAAAAATCGGAGCTGACATGAGTGAGTTTTTTTTTTTTTTCCTTTTTTGACAAGAGACGTATGAGTGAGTTAATGTATAAAACAAAAGCTATGGTTACTTTTAAAATAATAATAGATCTACTATCTACTTAATTATATTTGGATT